AACGCTCTCTTTGTTAGACCTAATTTTGACAGATTTTATTTTTTGGATTTTTTGTTATCTTTTGTGGATAGACTAGATCTCAAAATAAAAAATAAAAAAATTAAAATAAAAAAAAATTAAAATTCAAACATTCTTAAAACCAATTTTTTAAGTTTATGAAGTTCATGAGTGATTAGACCTATTTAGCCATAAAAATAAAAATAAATATATCTATATGTTCTTATATAATACTAAAAGTTTATCTATTTCTAAATTTTCAATTGCATGACATTTGTTCTTGAAAAAATTTGAAATGTTCAATCTGTTCCTTCGATCAAATTTTTTTACCATAGGTTTTTTTTATTTTATTGAAATACCCTTTATTAAAATGAAAAAAAAATCAAAATACAAAAAGCACTTAAAGTCACATAGCATGCAAGTTCTATTTTTTCATTATTTATTTATTTATTTATTTTGCATTTTAATCAAGGGTATTTCAATTAAAAAAAATCATATGGTTAGAAAAATTGATCGGAATAACAGATTAAATATTTCAAACAATTTGAGAGATGAATAGAATGCAATTAAAAACCTAAAAATATATGAGAAGATTTTAAAAATTATATAAATATAAATGGATATATTTACTGTAAAAATAGAGTATTGATACATGAAACATAATGCCTTACATAATATGTTGTAGGAGCAAAGGCAAATCCTCCAAAGAAACTAAGAAGCCCACCAAAAAATGGGAATGTCATTGCAAGGAACATGGTCAATCCTGCATAAAAATAACATGAAATTAATTAATCAATCATGTCTTCTCGAAAATAAACCAAAATGATCCCCCCAATTGTTAAAGAATACCCCTATCATTACATAAACTCAGTGATTAATGGAAGTTTTTATGGGGATTTGCTCACCAACATATAGAGTTCGTATTATGAAGCGAAGCACCAGACTCGGTTTGAAGTTCATTTTCAAGACTAAGAATGCTTCCATCATATCAAACACTGGCATTGCAAAAACCTACATTATGCAAAACATAAATACATTACTAATGTAAGATTGAAGAATCAATTAAGAACAGTCCCACCTTCGTCAATCCATCGCTAATCTCACGAAAGAAAAGAAAAAGGAAAGAGTAATTAAGATTGTTGAGCATACCTGATAACTTCCAATTACATGAATGACAACAAATATATTAGCCAGTGCAACAAGCCAACGAGGCTTCTCTAGCGATATGAGAATGTTGTCCTCGACATTGTTTCCAAACACCCAGTAACCTACAAAACCTACTGGGAAGTAACACAAAGCAACAACAAGATAAGCAACAACCACTCCTTTCCACATTGGTTTCTTGGAAGGCATCTCGGGTGTGGAAGGGATTGTTGCCTGGATCTCCAACGCCACATTGTGCCCTGCAAAGGCAAAAGCTACATCTCCCAAAGCACTAAAGAAGTTGAACATCTGCCCTGTATTTGTTGAAGCCCTTGATGTATATTGCACATCTGGTTGAACCCCTTTATGCCATGAAAGCACCCAGGCAACACTCGAGTAACTATGCAACAGAAGAAATTTTAGAACAACATTGAATAAATCTGGACGCAAAATTAGCTTCGAAACGATGGTGACAAAATATAGAATGACAATTTCGATTTTCTCAGAATTAGCTACCACTGACATATAGGTAAATAACAACAAATTAAGCATGGAAATATGAAGAGTACCTCAAGGACATGGCGGCCGCGGCAAGAGAGACACCGGTGATGGAATTGAAACTGGGGAGATGAGAGATAACAAAGTGAACCGAGGAAAAGATCATGATGAAATAGGTAAGTTTGATATCTTTGTAGTTAGGCCAAATAGTGTCATGAGCCTTCTTCAGAGATTTCCCTCCAGTAATCATATACACTATATTTACACCCACTTCCACCATTAGTTGCTGGGGCACCACCACCCAAAGCCCAAGTTTTTCACCAAAAGCATGCTGCCCTAACTCATGATACCTATCAAATCTCTTTCCAGGAACCATCTCATGCATCTCCACCATTTGCCATAGTGTATAGAGAGTGATGACCCATGATAGGATCATTATAACAGCACCAGGACCCCTAAAACAATATCAAAGCTTGTGAGATCACATTAATTAAAACAAAATCGTTATCTGTTTCCATGGTAAATCTAATCTCTAGATCTAGAGAGGCCAAAAATATTACATTTGGTTCTTGTAAGATATTGATCGCAGGAATTTGAAAAAATGTTTTCTGTTGAATGTATAGCAACAATTATGACTAGCTAGTGAACGTTACTTACCATCCAAGCTGAGACATAGCATAAGGGAGGCCCAAGACCCCAGCACCAACCATGGCTGTAACATTGTGAAAGGCAGAATACCACCACTTCGCATTCCTTGACTTGGTGATGGGAAGCCAGTCATTGATATCTTTCTTCTCTGAATCCATAATTGCTGTTCTATCAAATTAAGGTTGATCCGATCAGCAACAAACTATCTACAACTTTGTAACTGATCAAAGAGTTTACTGCGGGTAGGGATAGTGGGTAGATATTATAATGCTAGAGTTTGTTTCCTTTTCCAACTGAAATTTGTTTGACTGAGTTATCCACAAATTTGATTTAAAATAAAAATGATGTTCAATAGGAGTTTTTTCCTAAAATAGGGTAGTTTTTAATTTATCTTTTCAAAATAAAGTAGTTTAAATCTTATTTAGAAAAAAAAAAAGGATAGTTTTGCCCTATAAGCATCCATGTCATATTTTTAATTAAGTGTTCCAATACTAATATTTAGCATAATAATTTAAAAAATTAAAAATATAAAAGAAAAAATTAACCGACACTCTCTCTGTCTCTTTTTTATTATCTTTGTCCTAATTTTTTGAAGTTCAAATACTCTCTTAATTCAAAATCACAATTAGTAGAAAAGTTCTTTGGCACATGAATATCGTTAATTAAAGTACTTTTTTAAATTTTTTTGTTTTTATTTATTTAATTTTGCTAAAATATTCTTTTTCTTTGAGAAACAAAGAATCCAAGGCATCCATAGGTGCTTAACATGAATATAAGCACTGGTTTGCCAATCCCGCCACCCTCCCAATGCTATCTGCGTAGGTATATAAATGATTGGCTATGTACCCATATAAAAAGCTAGTAGCATCTTTCAGCACAGTTACGGCTTGACAATTATATTTTTTTCTATTTAGCTTGATATATTTCATGCTTAAAATTTTCAATGTCATAAGTATGATGCTTAGCTTAGCATAGAGAAGGTTGGTACTTTTTCTATGGATCCTTTAATGTCTATCTTTTTAATGGAGTTGACCATGTTCCTGGACAATATAATGCTCCCACCACCCTTGAGTTCCGGATATAAGTCATTGAGATTCACAAATCAATGGTGTTAGACTCGCTTTAGGGAAAAGCTACCAAATTTCCAATATAATCTTTATCTGTGTGAGTTAGTGCACTATTTTGGGAAATCTAACTTATCATTGCTACTTATATTACCTTACAATACAGAAGCAAGGTGGGGCTGAATGAAAGCATTATGTATATGTCTAGATATTATGGAAAAGGGTTTGGAATCAACCCAGCAACTTTCCAGAACAGAACTTTTGATGCCAAATTTGTACCATTTTTATTTATTAAATGATTGATAATGAGTTTATTTATTATCCCCCTACATGCAGTTGTCTAAGGATCAAAGTAAAAGGAAACAGAAAAGTTTGAAGCCACACCGTGTAACTATTTTTTTGAATGGCTACAGAAGTCACCAATAAAGTTGTGTGTGGCTACTGTAGACACCCGTTTGAACTAGTTTGGAAATGAGGCTTGGTTTTGTTTCTGATTGAGCTACTACCATCATGAACAAAAGTCTAAAATGAAAATTATTGGAAAGAGGTTATGGATCTTGTGTAGGGGTTCCACCATTAGAATTCCAGTTTGGCTCTCGCACTCCCAACTTTTTTTGCTAAATGCATTTCAATTATCTTACAATGTGTGTTGTTCCTTAAATCAGATAATAACTGACATGCTCTATTCAGGTATGAACTACACATTGAAAACTGACGATGTGATTGTGGGCTCCCAAACTCAGAAAGAAACCTGAAGATATAGAACATCTGAGACATGAAGAGAATGTGGCCTACACTCTAAACTTGCAGCAGGACAAGGACATCGAATATTGGGGTATTCATTTGAAGTCTATAATATATACAAAGGTGTAAACAACTTGGAATCTGTCGTATGAGAAGGCCTGTAAGAAAGGTCTAATCATTTTAAATGAAACTTGTGGAAGACTCTAATTGCGAAAATGAGTTATTATATGTTTCAACCATTTTTCAATGTGTTTCTGCCTGCGTTTTACTTGTTACAAATAATTTCTCGGTTTGGAAACGGTACAGCCATCAGAAAACAGTAGCATTATTGAAAATTTTTGCCTCAAGCAGAGAAATAAGATCATTAATAAGCATGCATAACCCACCTGAATGATGGAAAACTGAGTGACGCTGAATAACAGAAACAAGTTTTTTTAGATATTACGTACAGGAAGGAAATGCCAGTCCGTAACAGATGAATTAACAAAGCTACATCTAAAAATAACAACGGCAGCATTCAAGAACAGAGAAAAGAGATGTTCTGCATGACCTCAGCTGCAAAAACATGAACCGCAAAGCTATATGATATTTGGATGATAAAAATGGTTTTATAACATTCAATTGTCAGAACATCATTTTAGCATGTAATATGAACGTTAAGATGCGGAAATCTTAAAGGATAATAATGAATGAAATCTTTATCGTTATGTATTACAAATTACATATAGTACAAAAAATGAGTTACCTCTTTACATATAATACAGTGAGTTTTAAGGCAGCTTCCTAATTTGGCAATAAAAAGGAAAGCAGTAACCTGAAACAGTGCCTTGATGCCCATATGAATCTGATGTTCAAGTTTTCAGCATTATTAGCATCATACAACACTGGGTATTAATCTTCATATAATCAAAAGTAAAATGGAGTCGCTAACTCACTATGATTTCGCTCCCAATCCTCATCATTCATTTGATCATCCGTCTCTTCCTTTGGTGGCCTAACAACCACCACCACAGTCCCTAAACTCTCCACCACATTCCTGTCCTTCAACGCCGAACCCCTTTCAACCTTAAATTCACCACCAGCGCTGTCAAGAGTAACCAAATAAAACCCGTCATCTGCTTTCACTTCCTTTCTCCCGCTATCAGCAAACACTAAAACAGACTCCTCTTTATACCACCTATTCGCCTTCCATGGTAACACCCTAGCCTCTGGAAAAGCAGCCACCACTCCTCCTCTATCCAGCCCCACCAACGGTTCCCACCCTAGCAACACTACCCATCTTTCCCACTCGCTCTCTGCCACCACCACACCAAACTCAACCTTGCCCCGACACTCCCACGGTGCTTCCAGAATTTTTCTTTGCCCCTCCTCTGCTCTACAAACAGGTAAAACCACAACCCTACTCGCCTCCGCAACCTCACCAAGCTTCAACCTCACAACCGGAACCAGAACTCCAACTCCTAATTCCTCTCCTTTCCTTTCTTTCCCTTCTCCCTCTCCTTCTAACTCCTTCAAAATCGCACTCTTCGCCTTTTCAGACTCTGCAGCCTCACTTTAGCTCCAACAACTAAACGTTCTGCTCAACCCCAGATTGACCGAATTGCTTCACTCTCTTTGGGTACTTCCTGCCCTCCGCAGTGCCATCTCCCAACTGATCGAATTCGTTAGCACCTAATTGCATATATAGATAGGTATATAACGTCTTTCTTTATAGGAAACTGTGAAAGAGAGAGAGATCGAAACTGTGTTTTTTTCCTTGTCGGAGGGGGTTGTTTTAGATACAGAGAAACTAATTTAAGATGATAACATAATTTTTTTAATAAAAATAAATTAAAGCTGAAATATCGATCTATTAAAATAAAATAGTTCTTATTTCATATAAGGTACCTTCTTATAAAAAATGAATTTAAAATTATTTTATTATAAAAAATAAGATTTAAAACTGTCTTACTACCAAAAAAAACCTCGTTCAGTAGCACGTAATTATCTGGTTTATATACATATATTCAATGCCATAATGTCATACGATGTTATTGGATTGTCTTTTTCGTCCTTCTAAGCCGATAAAAGTTCTTTGGTGCTGTTAGGTTAATAGAAATAAAAGATTTGAAATAAAAATACATAAAATAAGAAATTTTTATTCTAATATTATATTTAGAAATAAAAAATTAGAATCTAATTTTTAATATGAATAAAAATAATGATTAAAAAAAATAATTTTATCAACTATTATAATAATAATAATAATAATAATAATATTAAAAATGATTAGTGCTGATTGTGATGGTGAAGGAGGAGATTGTGCTAATGCTAGTTGTGATTGTGATTGTGGCAACACCAATAATATAATTTTAAAAACAATGGATGCAAATGCAATCATAATAGAAATTGGCAATCGAAGAAGAGTGATAGTGGCAATTGTATATTAAAAATGATAATAGTGATGTAGGAGTAATGGCTCTAAAATGATAATAATAATTTTTATTTTTATTTTATCATTATTGTCAAGCAACGCAATTGATGGATGTGATAATGGTGATAGAAGTAGTTAATATACAATAAATAAAAATAATATATTATTATTTTAAAGAAAAATAAATTTCATTTTTATTTCTTGTTTTTATTCTCATTTCTTTACGTATGAATGGAATTATATTTAATTTTTATTTTTATTTACACCCTATTTTTTCAATCAAATACGCACAAAGTATAAAATTTTTATTTTTATTTATGTCTTTTTATTTGTTGTTATCAAACAATACATTTGCGTTTTTTTATATACATAGTACATAGAACTTTGGATCAATATGGGCATATTGGAACTAAGTTCATATCTTAATTTGTAGTTTTTACATTGGCATAAAAAAGAGAAGTTAATTGCTAATATTTGATAATTCACTCTTTATTCCACATGTTCAAACTTTTAATTAACCTTTCAGCGTCTATGATGGAATAATTGCGTCTTAATAGAGAATTTAGTTGTCCACCTAAAACAACGTGTCACGGACTTACAGATCCATGCTAGTTTGGATTGCAGTAAAGTGCGATCTATCATGCTAATTTTTTTTTTTTAATTATTCTTTTTCTTTGAGATGAAATTTTTTTGGGTGACTCTGCTGATTTTGTTGTAAAATTTTAAGTAAGATAATAAATACTCTATAAAGATAGATATATCTACAAGTTATAGTTTAAGTTATGTTTAGTATGATTTTTACATAGTGATTTAAGTTGTTGCTATTCTTTTACTCAAAGAAAAATTACAGATATTTTTATTCAGAAAACAACTTTTGATTTAAATCAAAAGTTTGTTATAAAATTAACTCAATTTTTTTATTTAATCAAAACTTAAAATTTTTATGAATTCTAATTTATACTACATTTTTCCTTTAAAAAAATAATTTAAAAATTATGGATCAAAATAAAAAATTATTCCAAATTAAAATTTTTATTTGAATTATTTGTAATGCCAAGTGGTGAGCAAGAACTTTTAGATAAAACAAGAATTGAATTAACCTTTGCAGCAAAAAGTTCCCTTGAAATTTCAGATAGAATTGCAAACTAATTAGTAGATATGGTAAATAACTCAATCTATTTTTATATAATAGTTAAAGTCTCTAATATATTGATATGTTTTTAATTGTGTTTTTATATAACATCTAATTTTTTTTAATATGTCTTTCTGTCATTTTTTTAATCTAAATTAATGTAATTATATTCTGAAAATACCCTTTGAGCTATATAGAAATAAAGTTTTATTTTTTAAAAAATTTAAATGGTTGAGTAATTTTGTAACTTTTTATTGCCTAAAATATTTTAAGCAATTTTGAAAAAAAAAATCTATTATATCCATATGTAACTGAAGGACAATTTTGAAATGAAAAAAAAATAATTTTTTCAACTTGAGTGGAAAATCTTGAATGAAAGACTTCAAGAAAATTAATTAATGTATAAGAACATAATAGATATAATTAGAAATTATATAAAAATATAATAGACACAACTAAATACGTAAAAACATATTGGAAATTTATCCAATTATATAATGTTAGATTGAAATATCTACCCGAGAACATAAAATGTCCAAGTAAATTAAAATTTGGTTCATAATTTGAAGATTTTGTCAATTTTTAATTTTGACCTTGTATTCTTGTTTTTTTTTTTAATAAATTTTATTCTGTACATACACTTATATGGTTTTCTGTTGTTTTACTATATATTTTATTTAGGCATTCATCTTCTATTTAGTTCTGTTAAATTTGTTGAAGCTTAAGAAAATTGTATGTGCGGTATAACAAATGAATAAATAGAATTAAAAGAAACCGATTGTCCTCGCCTTCATCTCTGCTAAATTGCCTAAATAATCAAATTACTATTAATCGTGTTACTAATTTCAATTTTTCGTCCAAAATCATTTACGATCCAAAATATGCTTAGTAATCACAATTACTCATAATCAAAGAAATCAACAATTTCTTTCATGCACAAATGGATTGATCCAACAAAAGTCCAAGATTAATACCCTAGCCAGCACCATAGTTGTTCTAGTTAGATTTCAAACTCGACTACAAGTTTTACTCAAATCATCAAACAAATATAGCACCTTCAATTACTACCTAAAAATTAAGTTCATGAATTTTCAAAAATATTTCAGATCTCAAAATAATTAAAACAAAATATGGTATGAAATCGAAATCCAAATCCAAACTTGTTTGGTATGAGAATCAGCAATTATATGAGAATGAGCAATTAATCTCACACTTTTAATGTCTATCTCCAAACTATCTATGTCAACAAAAGTTAAGGAAAAAAAAATGGAATGATATACATCTAACAAAATATTATTTAAGTCTAAAAAGTAAATATTAGATTAAATTAACCCTTTTTTAAAAAAAATAGATATTCATTTATTAATCCAAAAGGAAATAACTCTTATGTGCACGAATATGTAACGAAATGGCTTTCTTGTAAATACCTAACTATACACTTTCATCATTTTGTTAAAAATTAGAGTTCTTGTAGATTAATCAGTGTATAAATATCGCTACCCACTATATAATTATTGTTTAAAATTTTAATTTTTGTTATGATCAAGCAATAATTTATTTTTTAAAATTTATTAACTCATAAAAAGAAATATCTTATACTAAATTTTGAAAAAGCGATAGAAAATAATAATCTCACTGATTTGCACCGATAAGATTGAGTGCTTATCGAAACAATACTATCAAATAAAAATTATCTTTAATTTTTTTATTCAAATAAAAAAATTACTCAAACTTATTATCTTACAAAGAATACTTTATATTAAGTTCTTGTGAAAGGTAGAATACCACCACTTTGCATTCCTGGACTTGGTGATGGGAAGCCAGTCATTGATATCTTTCTTCACAATGTTGTTAGCACCGAACACATCCTTCTCTGACTCTATTGGATCCATGAACACATCCTTCTTTGACTCTATTGGATCCATAATTGTTGCTCTATCAAATTAAGGTTAATCTGATTAGCAACAAACTATCTACAAGGTTCTAACTGATCAAAGAGTTTATTACGGTTAGGGATAGTAGCTAGATATTATAACGCTGGAGTTTGTTTCCTTTTGCAACTGAAATTTGTTTGATTGAGTTATCTACAAATTCGATTTAAAATAAAAATGATGTTCAATAGGACTTAAATTATCTGGCTATATACATGTACTCATTGCCATACTCTCATACGATGTTATTGGAACACTACAAAAATATATGGAATTAGCGACGTTCTAGACCGTTGTTAATTCCAAAGAAATCGTCGCTAATAACCACTAGCGACGATTTTACGACAGATCCAAAAACCATCCGTAAAATGCCGATTACTAAAATTTTATGATGGTTTTCGGATCGTCTCTATGTTTGCGACGAACCAAACCTTCACAAAAAAAAAAAATAAACAATAAAAAAAATAGTTGTAAACCCGGGGAATATTGCGACGCTAAAAAAAACCCTTGCTAATACCATCGCAATTTAGAGATGGAATTAGCAACAGCTTTTTGCTCGTCGTAAAAATTCTAGAATTAGCGACGGTTAGTTCCATCGCTAAGTGATTATTTTATAATATTTTTTTTACAACCAATTTAAATATCTAAAATTAATCAATTGTAATTTAAAAATCTAATAAATACCCAAAAAATAATATTTTTCAAATTTCATAATTTTTATTATAAAATGTATTACAACTTAATAAATATTATTCAAATATTAAATTCTGAAAAACAATACAAAATTTGTTGTTATTACAAAAAAACATGATAGCCGGGAGAAATTGATAAGATTGTCACTCGGAGGTTAGGTGGAGTCATCATCGGTCTCGAGCACGACGAATGAACTGCCACCTTGCTGAAAATGCTTCGGAACATCTACCGCATCCGTATCATCATTATATGTTATTGTCGAGTGTACTCCTTTAACTCATTTGTTGTAGCCAACGGCGATGCCACAATACCCCGTAGTTCCCGGATCTCCGTGGTATTTGTAGTTGTTTGATCCCGAACTTTCGTTCACTATGCCTCATCACCGAGCATAGAACCACGAAGTTGTAGAATTGAAGGTTGTACTAACATTAGAGTAATAGTGAGATGCGTGTGACCTAAGTCCATACATCCTCTTTCTCTTACTATCTCCTCCACCAACAGACCTTCCTAAAAATCTCATTAATGTTGACATCGGTCGATGAAATCCCTTTGGTCTACCGGTTAGCAACCTCCTCCTTATTTATTAATCTTTCCATAGTCTTCTACATAATTATGTAAGACATAATATTAAACATCTATGTGAAATAACGTTATAAATTAATAAGTATAAAATAACATTATAAACTAATAATTTACATCGATAGCTCTTGACCATTGATCGACGAAGACATACTAATCATCAACCTTTCTTTGATGAGTCCTCAAGAAAACCTCACGAGGATCAAGTTCACGACCCAACACCTTACGTCGAAACCAATATACGTAAATGTATTAAAGATAGTCAAATATTTAATTAATATTTTGGATATCATTATAAAATATATCCCTCATGCATATTGCGTGCTCTTTATGGTCGATCGATCCCCTCGTATGTCTTGAAGGATTAGCTCCGACGCCACCGGTCTCACTCCTGTGGTTTCGCGCCGCCATCTCGGATCGGACAATGGTTTCGGGTTTTGCCCATTCCGTAGTCCATGCATCCCATATGTCCTGTGAGATAAATGCTAACTTCGGGTTTCTCTTGAGATGAAAAAGAAAGTCGAAATACCGCTTTCATAATTATTTAAATTATTAATTAATTTTCTAATTACTTAACACATTTACTTAATCAACAACTAAATAAACTAAATAAATTTAATTACCAATTTTTTTAATTACTAAATAAAATTTTGATGTTAATTAATTTTTTAATTACTAATTAATTTTGTAATTACTTAACACCTTTACTTAATCAACAACTATATAAACTTAATCACTTATTAATTTTTTAATTACTATATATACATTCAACAAGTATTAATTTTATAATTACTAATAATTTTTGTAATTACTAAAAATTTAAAATATTTCTAATAACTTAATTTTGTATTTACTAAATATAATTTCAAAATAAAATATTAATTATTAATTAATTTTCTAATTACTTAACTTCTTTACTTAATCGACAACTAAATAAGCTTAATTACTAATTAATTTTACAATTACTAAATAAATATTACAAATTAATTAATTTTTAAATTGGTAATTAATTTGGTAATTACTTAACACCTTTACTTAATCAACAACTAAATAAACTTAATTATCAATTATTTTTTTAATTACTAAATAAAATTTTGATATTAATAAATGTTTTAATTACTAATTAATTTTGTAATCACTTAACACCTTTACTTAATCAACAACTAAATAAACTTAATCACTTATTAATTTTTTAATTAGTAATTAAAAATTCAAAAAGTATTAATTTTTTAATTACTAAATATTTTTGTAATTATTAAAAATTTAAAATATTTCTAATAACTTATTAACAATTTTCTAAAATAATTAACTTTCAAAAATACCAACAATTAAACTAACTAAATTAATAGATAACATTTAACAATAAACTAACTAAATTAACAATTAACAATTACACTAATAACAATACCAATTAAATTAACAATAAAAATTAATAACAATAAAATTAACAATTAAACTCTCACAATCAACAACAATTAATAACAATTAAATTTTCTTAACAATTAAACTAACCAAATTAACAAGTAAAAATAATTTAATTAAATCAACAATTAATAATAACAATAAAATTAGTAATTAAACAATTAAACTCACAATTAACAAAAAGTAATAACAATTAAATTTTTTTAACAATTAAACTACCTAAATTAATAATTAACAATAATATTAATTAGACCAACAATTAAACTCTCACAATTAACAAAAATTAATACCAATTAAATTTTCATAATAATTAAACTAACTAAATTAATAATTTATAATAATATTAATTAAATCAACGAGTTAACGATAACAACAACACATGCAATTAACAATAACAATTAATTAAATTAACAAACAAAATTTAAATTAAATTAACTAAATAAAATGAAGGGTTGGATGAGGGAGGCCCTTTCACTAACACAAGGAGGAGAGGGGGTTACGTCGGTGGAGGGACTTCGACTGGATCGGTCTAGTCGAAAAATGGCCGGTGGAGGAAGAGGGGAGAAAGGAAGAAAGAAAGAGGAAGAGAGGGAAGAAAGAGGGAAAGATGGAGGGGAGAAAGGGAAGGAGGAGAGAGAAGAGAATATTAGAAGCAAAATAAGGGAGAGGGAGAAGATTTGATGGAAAAAATGGCCAAATCGACAACAGGGGAGAAGAAGAGAGGGAAGATAAATTGTTTTTTTTTTTTTGGACAATTTCGGCCATAATGGTTTTTAAGAGTAAAGTTTTAGCGACGAGTCCACAAACGGTCGTCGATTGTCGATTTTTTTATTAAAAAAATTGAAAAAATAGTTGTTTCCCCAACGAAAATAAATTTAGCGATGGTTTGTGGGCCATTGCTAATTTTAACTTTTGCAACAGTTTTTTGCAAAAAAACCATTGTAAAAATGGTTTTTGAGAATTTTTTTTAAAAAATTACAATTAGCTAATTATGCTGAAAACGAAATTAGCGACAGTCTTATGGACCGTCACTAATTTCATGTTTAGCGATGGTTTTTTTCCAGAAAAACCATCGCAAAAACGATGCAAATTAACAAAAAATAAAATTAACTTACGGATGATTTTTGTTAACCGTCGCTAATTTATCGGTTAATTAGCGACGATTTGTTAAAATCGTTGATAAAAATGGTTGTTTAGGAGAAATTTGGTGTTGTTAGGTTAATAAAAATAAAAAGATTTGGAATGAAGATACATAAATCAAGATATTTTCATTCCAATATTATAATTAGAAATAAAAAACCAGAATTGATTTTTAAGATAAATAAGAATAATAATTAAAAATAATAATTTCATCAATTATAATGGTGTGTGTGTGTGTATATATATATATCACTACCGTCAATGACAATGCGATCTATTAGGCTAATTTTTTTTTCTTTTTCTTTGAGATGAAATTTCTTTTGGGTGACTTGGTGATTTCTTTGTAGAATTTTGAGTAAGTTAATAAGTACTCGATAAAGATAGATATATCTACAAATTATAGTTTAAGTTATGTTTAGTATGATTTTTACATATTGACTTAAGTTGTTGTTAATCTTTTACTAAAAAAAAAATTATAAATATGTTTGTTTAGAAAAAAACTTTTGATCTAAATCAAAATTTTGTTATAAAATTAAGTCAAAATTTTTATTTAATCAAATTTGAAATTTTTATGAATTCTAATCTATAATATATTTTCCCTTTAAAAAATTATTTTATAAAAAAAAATAATTTTTAAATTATGGATCAAAATAAAAAATTATTCCAAATTAAATTTTTTATTTATTTGAATTATTTGTAATGACAAGTGGTGAGCAAGAACTTTTTCATAAAACAAGAATTTAATTAACCTTTGCAGCAAAAAGTTCCCTTGAAATTTCAGATGGAATTGCAAACTAATTAGTAGATATGGTAAATAATTCAATCTATTTTTATATAATAGTTTAAGTCTCTAATATATTTTTATGTTTTTAATTTTTTTATATAATATCTTTTTTTTAATATGTCTTTATATGAGGTTTTTTTTATATCTAAATTAATGTAATTATATTCTGAAAATACCTTTGAGCTATATAAAAATAAAATTTTATTTAAAAAAATTAAATGGTTGACTAATTTTTTAAATTTTTATTTCCTAAAATATTTTGAGCAATTTTGAACAAAAAAAAATTCTATTATATCCATATGTTACTCGAAGGACAATTTTGAAATGAAAAAAAAAAATAATTTTTTCAACTTGAGTGAAAAATTTTGAATGAAAGACATAAAAAAAAATAATTACTATATAAGAACATAATAGATATAATTATAAATTATATAAAAACTTAATAGATACAATTGAAAACGTAAAAACATATTGAAAATTTATTCAATTATATAATGCTAGATTGAAATATCTATCCTAGAACATAAAATGTCTAAGTAAATTAAAATTTGGTTCATAATTTGAAGATTTTGTCAATTTTTAATTTTGACCATGTATTCTAGTTTTTTTTAACAAAATTTTATTTTGTACATACACTTATATGGTTTCTGCAATTTTACTATATATTTTATTTAGGCATTCATCTTCTGTCTAGTTCAGCTAAATTTGTTGAAGCTTAAGAAAATTGCATTTGCAGTATAATAAATAGAATTAAAAGAAACATCATCTATGTTAAAGTGCCTCAAATAATCAAATTAATATTAATCGTATTACTAATTTTAATTTTTTTTCAAAATCATTTAAATATGCTCAGTAATCACAAATACTCATAATCAAAGAAACCAACAACTTCATTCATGCACAAATGGATTTATCCAACAAAAGTCCAAGATTAACACCCACTACTCCAACTAGCACCATAGATGTCTGGAAAGATTTCAAACTCTTGCTTCAAGTTTTACTAAAACCATCAAACAAATATAGCACCTTCAATTACTACCTAAAAATTACATTCATGAATTTTCAAAAATATTTTAGATCTCAAAATAATTGAAAAAACAATATGGTAAAAAATTGAAATCGAAATCTAAACTTGTTTGGTATGAGAATGAGCAATCAATCTCACACTTTTAATGTCTATCTCTAAACTACCTATGTCAACAGAAGTTTAGATATTTAAAAAACTGGAATGATACATATCTAACAAAATATTACTTAAGTCTAAAAAGTAAATAATAGATATCCAAAGATATTTTAATCAAATCAAGTTTTACGGTAAAAGTTTTATGGATAAATAATAATAATAATAAGGTATTTTTGTAGAAATATTGTTTTCCTTAATGGACTTGTTATTGTTACTTCAAGCCATTATAATTATAATGTCTTCAAGTTTACAAAATAATAAGATAGTATTTAGGATGCAATAAAAATAGTTTATTTAAAACTTAAACATTTTTTTTCCTGCTTTTTTAAGGTAAGAAGAATTTCTTTTTTTAATTTTCATTTAATTGTTCTTAACTATTATAACTATATAACAATTAGTTAGTGGCTACTACTAAATTCACCAATGAAATTGATATTCCTACCACTTTTTTTAAAAAAAATTACCAATACACTCTTCATTAATATTTGTTATATAGTAATTATTTGTAATTAGTAAAGAATGTATTGGTAATTGTATAGAAAAAAAAGTAAAAATAACAATTTCATTTGTGAATTTAGCAATACCCTTAGTTGAATTAAGAAAAAATAAAATAATATCTGCAATTCGTATAGTGAATTTATTTATAGTTTGTAATCATTAACTTGTTACAAAATAAATAATACTTTTTTTTAATAACAGTGTATTTTTTAGTCATGATTATATAATAATATTAATAATTAGTATAATTACAAAATAATTAATTAAATTACTAAATAATAAGATAAGTTGAGACATAGCATAAGATAGGCCTTAGACCCCGGCACCAACCATGGCTGTAACATTGTGAAAGGCAGATTACCACCACTTTGCATTCTTGGACTTGGTGATGGGAAGCTAGTCATTGATATCTTTCTTCACAATATTGTCAGCATCGGACACATCCCTCTCTGACTCTATTGGATCTATAATTGTTGCTCTACCAAATTAAGGTTAATATGATCAACAACAAACTATATACAAGGTTCTAACTAATCAAAGAGTTTATTGCGGATAGGGATAGTAGCTAGATATTATAACGCTAGAGTTTATTCCTTTTGCAACTGAAATTTTTTTGACTGAGTTATCCACAAATTTGATTTAAAATAAAAATAATGTTCAATAGGACTTAAATTATCTGGCTATATACATGTACTCATTGCCATATTGCCATACGATGTTATTGGAACACTACAAAAATATATAAAATTAGCAATGGTCTAGATTGTTGCTAATTCCAAAGAAACCATCACTAATAACCATTAGTGACGGTCCAAAACTCGTCCGTAAAATGCCGATCACTAAAATTTTATGACGGTTTTTGGACCGTCGCTAATTTTGCAACGAGCCAAACAGTTGCTAAAAATGGTTGTAAACCGAGGGAATATTGTGACGCTAAAAAAAAACCATCGCTCATACCATCGCAATTTAGAGATGGAATTAGCGACGATTTTTTGCTCATCGTAAAAAATTCTAGAATCGATAATGAGTTAAAACCATCGCCAAGTTATTATTTTACAATTTTCTATTTTTTTCACCCAATTTAAATATATAAAATTAATCAATTGCAATTTAAAAGTCTAATAAATACCCAAAACATAATATTTTCGAATTTCATAATTTTTATTATAAAATCTATTAAAACGTAATAAATATTATTCAATTATTAAATTACGGAAAGCAATACAAAGTTTGTTGTTATTACTAGAAAACATGATAGCTAGGAGAAATTGGCGGGATCGTCACAATTAACAAAAAGTAATAAAAATTAAATTTTTTTAACAATTAAACTAACTAAATTAATAATTAAAAATAATATTAATTAAATTAACAATTAACAATAACATCAACAACTCAATTAACAATTACAATAAAATTAACAATTAAACTCTCAAAATTAACAAAAATTAATACTAATTAAATTTTCTTAACAATTAAACTAACTAAATTAACAATTAACAATAATATTAATTAAATTAACAATTAACAATAACAACAACACATGCAATTAACAATAACAATTAATTAAATTAACAAACAAAATTTAAATTAAATTAATTAAATAATTGAAAAAAATAAAAAATAAAATGAGGGGTTAGATGAGGGAGGACCTTTCACCAACACAAGGAGGAAAGGGCGCTACGTCGGTGGAGGGACTTCGTCGGATTTGTCCGAGTCGGAAAATGGCTGGTGGAGGAAGAGGGGAGAAAGGAAGAAAGAAAGAGGAAAAGAGGGAAGAAAGGGGGAGAGATGGAGGGGAGAAAGGGAAGGAAAAGAGAGAGGGGAAGATTGGAAGGAAAATAAGGGAGAAGGGGAAGTTTTGATGGAAAAAATGGCCAAATCGACGCCGGAAACGAGGGAGAAGAAAAGAGGGAAGAGAAATTTTTTTTTGGACAATTTTCGGCGGAATGGTTTTTACGGGTAAAGTTTTAGCAACTCGTCCACAAACCGTCGCTTATTGTTAGTTTAAAAAAAAATTAAAAAAATAGATGTTTTCCCCCAACGAAAATAAATTTAGTGACGATTTACGGATCGTCGCTAATTTCCACTTTTGCAATGGCTTTTTGGCAAAAAACACCATCGCAAAAATGGTTTTCGATAAAATTTGTTTAAAAAAATTGCAATTAATGACGGTTTTTCTGGAAAAAAATGATCGCTAATTATGCTGAAAACGAAATTAGCAACGGTCTTATGGACCATCGCTAATTCCATGTTTAGTCGCTAATTTCGTTTTTAGCATAATTAGCGACGGTTTTTTCCAGAAAAACCGTCACAAAAACGGTCCAAATTCAAAAAAAATTAACTTACCGATGTTTTTTGTTAACCGTCGCTAAAATTTAGCTACAATTTTGTGAACCCTCGCTAAAGTGCTAAAAACCATCGCAAATTTTATCAATTAGCGACGGTTTTGGGCCGTTGTTAATCTCCCCTTGCAAATCCGTTGTTTTGTTGTAGTGGAATATTTCTTTTTTCCTTCTAAACCGATAATACTTTCTTAAGCGAGAGCTGCAAACCATATTTTTTACCTTGGTAAAAGTTCTATTATTTGGTGCTCGTTAGGTTAATAGAAATAAAAAGATCTAGAATGAAGATACATAAATCAAGATATTTTCATTCCGATATTATAATTAGCAATAAAAAAATAAAATTGATTTTTAAGATACATAAGAATAGTAATTAAAAATAATAATTTCATCAATTATGATGGTATGTGTGTGTGTGTGTGTATATCACTATTGTCAATGGAACTAGTGGATGTGGTAATAGTGATAGAATTAATTGATGCACAATAAATAAAAATAATATATCACTATTTTAAAGAAAAATAAATCTCCTTCTCATTTCTTGTTTTTATTAGTAATAGAACTAATTGCTACACAATAAATAAAATAATATATTACTATTTTAAAATAGAACAAATCTCATTCTCATTTCTTGTTTTTATTTTCACTTCTTTCCATGATAATAAAATGTGTTTATTTTTTATTTCTTTTAACCAAACATGTATAAAATAAGAATAATTTTTTTTATTTCTATCATTCTATTTGTTGTTACGAAACAATACATTAGTGTTATATATAGATAACTTTGGATCAATATGGGCATATTGGAACTACGTCGATATCTTAATTTGTAGTTTTTACATTGGCATACAAAAGAGAAGTTAATTGCTAATATTTGATAATTCACTTTTTATTCCACATGTTCAAACCTTTAATTAACTATTCAATTGTCTATGATGGAATAATTGCATCTTAATAGATAATTTAGTTGTCCATGTAAAACAATGAGTCATTGACTTACAAATCCATGCTAGTTTGGATTGCAGTAAAGTGCGATCTATCAACCTTTTCTTTTCTTTTTTTTTCTTTTTCTTTGAGATGAAATTTCTTTTGGGTGACTTGATGATTTCTTTGTAGAATTTTGAGTAAGTTAATAAGTACTCCATAAAGATAGATATATCTAGAAATTATAGTTTAAGTTATGTTTAGTATGATTTTTACGTATTGACTTAAGTTGTTGTTAATCTTTTACTCAAAGAAAAATTATAAATATGTTTGTTATAAAATTAAGTCAAAATTTTTATTTAATCAAAACTTGAAATTTTTATGAATTCTAATTTATAATATATTTTTCCTTTAAAAAATTATTTTATAAAAAATGATTTGTAAATTATGGATCAAAATAAAAAATTATTCCAAATTACATTTTTTATTTATTTAAATTATTTGTAATGCCAAGTGGTGAGCAAGAACTTTTTGATAAAACAAGAATTTAATTAACCTTTGCACCAAAATGTTCCCTTGAAATTTCAGATGGAATTGCAAACTAATTAAGAAGATATGGTAAATAATTCAATTTATTTTTATATAATAGTTCAAGTCTCTAGTATATTTTTATGTTTTTAATTTTTTTATATAATATCTTTTTTTTTAATATGTCTTTCCGTGAGGTTTTTTTTTATTATTATCTAAATTAATGTAATTATATTTAGAAAATACCTTTGAGCTATATCGAAATTTTTTTTTTTTAAGTTTCAATGGTTGAGTAATTTTTTAAATTTTTATTGCCTGAACTATTTTGAGCAATTTTGAAAACAGAAAATCTATTATATCCATATGTAACTGAAGGACAATTTTGAAATGAAAAAAAAAATAATTTTTTCAACTTGAGTGGAAAATTTTGAATGAAAGACATCAAAAAATTTAATCACTATATAAGAACATAATAGATATAATTAGAAGCTATACAAAAATATAATAGATACAATTAAAAACATAAAAACATATTGAAAATTTATTCAATTATATAATGCTAGATTGAAATATCCATCCTAGAACATAAAATGTCCAAGTAAATTAAAATTTGGTTCATAATTTGAAGATTTTGTCAATTTTTAATTTTGACCATGTATTCTTGTTTTTTTTTTTTTAATAAATTTTATTCTGTGCATACACTTATATGGTTTCTGCAGTTTTACTATATATTTTATTTAGGCATTCATCTTCTGTCTAGTTCAGTTAAATTTGTTAAAGCTTAAGAAACTTGCATGTGCAATATAATAAATAAATAAATAGAATTAAAAGAAACATCATCTACGTTAAATTGCCTCAAATAATCAAATTAGTATTAATCATGTTACTAATTTCAACTTTTTGTTCAAAATCATTTAAATATGCGTAGCAATCACAAATACTCATAATCAAAGAAATCAACAATTTCATTCATGCACAAATGGATTGATCCAACAAAAGTCCTAGATTAATACCCACTACTCCAATTAGCACCAAAATTGTTCTGGTAAGATTTCAAACTCTTGCTTCAAGTTTTACTAAAACCATAAAAAAAATATAGCACCTTCAATTACTACCTAAAACTTACATTCATGACTTTTCAAAAATATTTCAGATCTCAAAATAATTGAAAAAAAATATGGTAAAAAATTGAAATCGAAATCTAAACTTGTTTGGTATGAGAATGAGCAATCAATCTCACACTTTTAATGTCTATCTCTAAACTACCTATGTCAACAGAAGTTCAGGTATTTAAAAAACTGGAATGATACATATCTAACAAAATATTACTTAAGTCTAAAAAGTAAATATTGGATTAAAATAACCCATTTTTAAAAATAGATATCCAAAGATATTTTAATCCAATCAAGTTTTGCGGCAAAAGTTTTATAGATAAATAATAATAATAATAATTATAATATAACAAAAAAAAGAATGTATTTTTGTAGAAATATTGTTTTCCTTAATGGACTTGTTATTGTTACTTCAAGCCATTATAATTATAATGTCTTCAAATTCACAAAATAATAAGATAGTATTTAGGATGCAATAAAAATAGTTAACTTAAAACTTAAATAGTTTTTTTTTCCCTGCTTTTTTAAGTTAAGAAGAATTTCTTTTTTTAATCTTCATTTAATTGTTCTTACTACATAACAATTAGTTAGTGACTACTGCTAAATTCACCAATGAAATTGATATTCCTGTCACTTTTTTTTAAATTACCAATATACCCTCTCTTTTTTAATCAACATCTTGTACATAACATTATGTACAAGATGTTGATTAACTTGAAATTTTTTTACGAAGGTACCTGGATTTATGTTCATTTTCTTTGATACATAAATAAGGAAATGGTGGAATAACGAGTAGACTCTAACTACCTATCTCTTGTTAATTTGTAACTATAGTTGAAGAATAATAGTTATCCCAATATGACAGGGTTTTTATACAATCTTGGGCAACAGGTCTTGGAGAATGGAGTTAGGATTGTGAAGGATGGAACCACTTAATGGAAATTATAGTGGATATGAAGAAAATTAATATTTGTTATATAATAGTTATTTGTAATTAGTAAAGAATGTATTGGTAATTGTATAGAAAAAATAGATAAAACAACAATTCCATTAGTGAATTTAGCAATACCCTTAGCTAAATTAAGAAAAAAATAAAATAATTTGTTGCAATTCATATAGTGAATTTATTTACAGTTTGTAATCGTTAACTTGTTACAAAATAAATAATATTATTTTTCTTTTGAAAATAACATTGGATTTTTGAGTCGTGGTTCTATAATAATATTAATAAATAGTATAATTACAAAATAATTAATTAAATTACTAAATAATAAGATAAGTTATTATAATGTAATAAATAAAATATTCATTATTTCGTAAACTTGAAAGCACTTTAATTATAGCGCCTTGAAACACCATTCTTTAAAAACACAGAAAGAAAGAAAAGATCTTAAAAAAATAAGACAGCACAGAGAATACCATTCTAGAAATTTAAAATGGAATAAAATAAAATAAAAATAGGCTCAGTCAGGATATAAGGCCCTGCAAACTAATTAGAAGACGATTTGAAGTAGAACTAAAATTTGGATTCATAATTTGAAGCATTAACCTAGAAGCAGAGGACATTGCAACAAGGATTTATGAGGAAAGATGAAGTTCAACAGCTACCTTAAGAAGATGGTAGGTCTACACGTCTATACAAAGTTATCAATGTGGTTTAGAGGTGGCGAAAATGAACTTCAAAAATAAATTAAGGATTACAGCTAGAAAAACATTTGGTTACAAAGCAGGAGACCACCTGAATGAATTCTCTGTTGTTGCTTCCATCTTTCTAAGAGAAAATCTTCATCACTTGGACGCTTAAGATATTCATCAACATCAAACTGTGACCTTGTTCCCCCAAATGAAATTCGGCTTTTGTAGCTTTCAACTTCTCCAAATTTCCTCCCTTTAAGTTCACTAATATTTGTTGAATGACCATCTGTAAGTCCTGGGCTCCAGCTTCCATGACTACTGATGGAGGGCATGCCTAAAACTTGAGAAGGGGTTGCTTCCTGTAATGAGAATTGATATGCAATTCCCCAACATAAAAAGAGTAAAAAGTGAGTCATGATAGATTTATGATGCATATGAAGACACCAGAAAGAAGCCTAGTGTGTAACTTTGCTAAGCAACACAATCTAGGAATGGGTAATCTAATTCTTGCAAGGTCTTAGATCCGCCTGAAAGAGAAAACAGGCCATAGATTACCTGAGCTGCATCCCATAAATTGTTTTTTGGAGTCGAAGTTAGCTCCTTATTTTTTAACGCCAGAGAAGAAGCATCATTAGAAGTTTCCCATTGTAACCAGGGCAGCACAACCCCATCCATTTCTACAGGATAAGGCTTGGATATCACGGGGCTTTGAAAAGTTTCTGTCTTTGTTATTCCTCCTAAAGTTGAACTAGTATCACTCCTTTCCCCATCCAAAGATGAAATATCTGTATCTTCAACATTCAAAATGAAGTCCTCAAAGTATTTCTCTGCCTCTTCAGTCAACCGTTTAGACATCCTACTTCTGTCATTACTCCTCTGAACAACACAAATTGGAAATCTTTATAAACAAATTTACACAAGAACAAACAATATGCACATGTTAAACTGTTAAATAGCATTGAAAAAGAAGACCAAGTACCTTTCTGGCTCGCAATGGCTTTTCAACAACAGTGTTCTTTGGATCAGAAAGCAATTCTTTTACAATCTTCGAGATATCTCTACCATGCTGCTCCTCCAACAGAAGTTTTGCTAATAAGTCTTGTTTACGCTTCTCAGACTGTTAATTCAACATCCATATATGAATAGGTCATCTTGAAGTGCCAGTGGAAATGGGAACTTAACCAGTTCTCTAAATGGTCTTTCTAATGTGTCAAAAAGGCAGCTTAAAGTAATCATGTTTTCAGTTTTACAATCATAGAATTGCAGTATTGCATAACGCCACCAGTGTCACTAAATAATCTCCCCGAACCATACCACGGTGATCAAAAACATGCAAGTTGCAATGGCTGCTTATATTCAGTCCTATCAACCTTTTAGCATGGCTGCTTATATTCAGTCCTATCAACCTCTCAACATCATCTCACAAAACCAAATATTGTAGTTCAAGAAACCTAACAAAATATGATTTTTACACAACAATATAAAAAGAACAAATGTGATAAGCTGTCAAGCTCCCTCCTAGATCAATAACTATGCATCAATGATGAAGGAATCCATAAGTAAAAGCTGCAGTATTTATCATAATCAAACACTCCTCAATCAATTATCAAAAAAAAAAAAAGACAGGGCAAAAGATACTCTCTTTTGCCTGTTGGCAACACCAGCAATCAATTTAAGAATTATTATGCCACTGAAGGGATAAACTAGCACAACAGAGAGATCATAACTAGAATTTTCTTACATGTTCCAATTTTGTTGCATGATTCCTTCTGATAGTAGAACCAGCCTGAAAAACATCAGATTTTCCAGATTGTGAGCAGTCTGTGTTTGTTTTCCCCATAGACTGCATCAATTTCAAGGAACCAAATAAGTATCAGCAAACCAAAACGAGGATGCACATGTAATATATAATACAGATAATTTAATCAAGTTCACGAGATACATAAGTACAGACCTGTTCAAGTTCCATCCTGATCTCTTCTATTGCATGCCTAAGTTCTTTTCTCATTGCTTCATACAGCCCGCTATTCAAGTCATCGCCAGTGGGATGCTCTGCCTAAAGGGTAATAAGGATGGTCAATATGACTGATCTGAAGAGAAGACGACAGTCACTCATACACAAAAATACACATGCAGAGACAGAGAGAGGAAGAGTGGGGTTGGGGGAGACGCTGAAACAACACCAATTGCATAGTTATTGTTTCCAAAAATCATATCCAACCTTCTTCTGTGCATAAACTGTTCGTATTGTTCCCTCGAACCCATTTTTATTGGAACAAGTATCCCTTCCTTCATCATCAGTTAGGCTAGACGAATGGCTCTGAAATGATCAAATTTAAATCAGTCTTGAAAAAACTCAATATGAAAAAGTTTGTGAATGACTATTAAAATAACAACATTTATGTACATGTGCATGCAGGTGTGAAAAACCATTCAACCAATCAGATACAACATCTCAAATAGAAGTTTCCTCTACTAAACAAAATAGACAACACCATATAGAAGATGTAATTAACAAAGCTTGAATAGATATAAGGCTTACAGAGTAGCCGTCGTGATACTTCAAATCTTTCTGGCTAAGAGACCTTCTCAGTCCAGGTCTATGATTTGAAGCTAATGTCTTACTTGATAAAGGGGCCTGGCTGTTTCCATTACTTAGACGCCTCGAATTACCATGATTTCTTGAATTCTGAGAATGATCTAGATCACTCTGACATTGCCAAAGAAAAATAATGTACAAATGTTAAATGAGAAAGTCATTGACTGATATGTGCCCAAATCAGTTTAGTACACAAGCTGATATGAATCAATTCTGTTCAAGATATTACATAAACATACATAACAAGCACGTATATATTCACTAATTTGTGCATCAATCTCAGAGTATTACATTTTCACATGCTTCAACCATATGACACTCCAATTAAGGGCATTCAATAAATGCAAACACACCTTAGCACTGAACCTTTTAATTAGCTTTTGTTATCACAGAAGTTTGCAAACATCTATTAAGAAAGGCACCAGAGGGGTACTAGTACCATCCATATTCGGAATCTAAACAACCATAAATAATCAACGAGAATTAAGAAATCCTAGACAGTATAAGGACAACCATAGACAAAATTTAATTCATCAACTCTTAATTGGTTTTACTATACAACCTAATTCAACAAATTACCATTACATAGAAGCCTACATGTTGAAAATCCACGTTAACTAACAAAAGAATCCAATACTCATAATAGTCATTTACAGCAACAAAACACAAATTGAAAGCATCCAACTAGGCATAATTCAAGCCTATCAAAGTAACGAAAGAACGAAAAGATCCAAAATCATCCATCAAAAATAATATTTAAATTCTAAAATGATATAGCTCTCTCATCATGGGCTCCATTGCAAACACTTTGTAAGTGAGAAAGTACACAACCTCAAAAGTGCCCACGATTGCTATTTACTCATTTCTTATCCATATTTAACAATTCCCTACTTTCTTAACATAATAATTAAACAAAAAAGGTAAATCAGACAAGCATCCCCACATTCAAAAAGCTACCTTTCTTTTACCAAAATGATCCCTAAATTTTCACCCAAAAAAACAAAAGAGCAATTCAATATTAAGATTTTTTTTTAAAGAAAAAAAGCACTAATTCTTTTGTACCTCAGAATCGCTAATTTGATACCTAACCACAGAAACAGACCGTTTCCTCCTCGAATTATTACCATCCGAATTCACCTTCCCACTACCACCACTGTAACTCTTACTGTTATTATTGATTTCACTGCCTTGCCTCGACACAGACCTCCCTCTCCTCTGGGACCCACCCACAACTCTCTCCCCATCACTGACGTCACCACTTCTAAAACCCGACCGCCCTCGATCACCTGAACCGAACAACTGAATAGCGAGATCGTCGAGACTTATATCCGGAACTCCCGATCCTCTCTCCATGTTCACGAACCTCCCTCTCGACGGCGCGGGAGCATCATAGGAGAAGTCGTCGGAAGGAATCGGCCGGGAGAACCGGCTGAGACTCCGAGACCGCCGGTGAGCAGAGGCAGATGACTTGTCGTTTCCGATTGGTGTTCTCTTTGTCGTGGATTTAAACGCAGAGGTTGCCATTTTTTTCCAACGGAGATATTAATTAATTAAAAGTTAATTACTTTTAGGTTTGATCAGAGAGTTTAGAATGTTTGGCATTTCGGAGAGAATAATGTGAAAGGATTCACGAGGAAGAGATGATGGCAGAGAAAGAACTATAGAGAGAGAGAGAGAGAGAGAGAGAGAGAGAGAGAGAGAGGGTTTAGTGTATTGGCGGAGACATCGAAAATAGAGGAAATTTGAAAATTTTTGAGCTGTGAAAAACAATGTTAGGTGTTAGGTGCTGGTAGTAAAGTTGGGTTTGGGTAGTATAGTAATTCGGTGGTGTGTTTCAATTCTGAATTTCGAACATTGAGAAATACACTTGAATTGGGTTTTTTTTTTTAATTTTAATTTATCGGGAATTTTATTGCTTTTAATATAAATAGCAATTGGCAACTATCGGTTCTCTTTTTATTTTTCGTTTTTCCCCTCATGTGGCCAGAGTGATCCCATTGGCAGAAAAAAGGTAGTGTGATAACTCTCCATTTTTGGATAGAATTTTGAATTATTTATTGTTGTTTGCATTATTATTTGACCATAAAAGCTTCTACCTGATTTTTTAATTTTTTAATTTTTTTCCTTTTCTTATAGCAAAAAAGAAAAGGTTTCATGTTATGTTTTTGGATAAATAATAGAAATAAAGAAAAGCTTCTATGTTCGTTGGTCAAGGGTAGAAATGTCCGAAAAATATTGAGCCAGTAACAGAAAGGGCAGCAAGAGTCCTCTTGGGTTTAAGCTAGATCTCTAACCAACGCTATCGACACGAGCAACATCATTGATCACACTGTTCTGTATTTCATTTTTTGCGTAAGTCCACCGTTCAAATGTTTAATTGTTGGGTTTAAAGACAATGTTTTAATTTGACTTGCCAAAGTTAATGACAGATGGGCCGTTTTGTAGCATCCGTCATGGCATTCGTGCTTACAATTCTGACCGTCATTCAAAGTGGAAACATTTGAATAAGAGTGGCATTCAAATTGATTAAATTCTAAAATTAAAAAGATTTAAGACATTTTATGTGAGTTTTAAAACTTGATTATGTACGTGTGTATAGATTTAGTGTGCTTCATAATACAATGCAGATGTTTTTATAAAAATACATTTAAATATAAAAAAAACATTGGAATTAATGAATTTGTGTTTTTTTTTTTTAATATTTTCGAGTTCAATATCTCAAAACTTTTCAAAACACCTAAACAAATATCAAATAACCTAAATATATTTTTAAAAACAGTCCATAGAATTGATAATTACATGCCGCTCCATTTATTGTACGATCCATTCACTATAATAAATAATTCCATGGAAATACCGTACCGGTTCTGGGGTTCAGAAATTAGGAACATATTGACCACCTTAGTATTATTCGAAGTATGTACTTCTAATTCTACCTCTTGTTTTCATTTTTAGCGGATGCGTCGATGACAAGTTACCTCGACCTTGACATGCCTAGAGCTCACCCAAATCCAGCTCTAGTTTATGCCGGAGCCAACACGCACCTTGTTTAAAGCACAAACTACTTTCCGCGGTCACACATCTCATATGACAGACAGACCTTTCTTTATCTTCAGACACTTCACATGAAACACATTGACGTTCACCAAACATCCTAGCGGTCATCATGGATCGTACCTACGAAATCAAGATCATCCATCGCCCAGATTTTACCCACCCACGAAATTCACCGCTGTGGCCACCTTAAAGAGTATCATTTCGTTAAAAACAACGTTACATTCTCGTTTCGTCTCCCAGATTTTGCGGTCTCATTGGCACTTCTTGCCAGAGACCATAGTTGCAACAATAATTGTGTTTAACATGCCAACAAGGCCAAAGTTCATTTTTGGATTTTAACCGCTGGGAGGAACGAAATAGAGACCAGGGCCAGCAAGGTTGCAGAAAATACCATACACACAATACTAAGGCAAAAATATTTAAAATCCAGTTGGGAGGAAACATAAGCTTCCTCCTTCAAAACACAAGGAAAGCCAAACCTAAGAAACTATTCAGAATCTTGCTGTCATTGCAAAGATCATAATATTGCCGCCGACATTTTATTTGATTCAGCCTCGTACTAACAGAAACCCCCTGGCGGGCTCATGGAAGCATACAGTAACTCCACCGTCATGCTGCTACTTTACTTGGGAACAGATGCAATGTAGGTAATCAAGTCAACCACGCGAGTGCTGCAAATTATCAAGGGAGAGATGGATTACATAACTGTTACTAATGCACAAAACATAAGTCTCTCTAGCAAAGAAAAAAACGAACAACTCGAGTAGGCGACCCTTTGGATCTCTCCAATCGAAGGAAGGAACGTCTATTAATCATACAGCAAGTAATAAAAGAAAACAAGATAAGAAATTACCTGTAACCCCACTCGTTGTCATACCACGCAACCAGCTTCACATATTTCTCATTCAAAGCAATTCCAGCTTTGGCGTCGAAGATACTCGACCTGTGAACATTAAACCAGCATCATTTGGTTAAATTCCAAAAGCAACCTCCAGAACACACTTACACGTCCACTTCATCATATCAAAGAAACAGTCTTAAGTGTTATAGGGATTTGCATCAATTCCTACCTATTGTCACCAATGAAGTCAGTTGAGACCAGATCTTCATCGGTGTAGCCCAAGATTCCCTTCATCGGTCCTTCCGACTCCTCCCTGTTAAAAAGATTAAAAAAGTTTAAGACTGGGAAAAGACATTCATCCAAAACCATATGCTAGAATTAGTCATTGGAGAGCTTGAGCAGTTTGATTTAACACCATATATCCCAAGGCCGTTGTGAATCCCCACTGTTTGTGCGTACAACAGAATAACCTAACGTTCGACAGAAAATAGTTTCTCCTATATTTGCACTCACTTGATAACAGCTTTAATTTCATCATATGTAGCTGGCTTCTCAAGTCTCACTGTGAGGTCCACAACAGATACATCAACAGTTGGGACACGGAAAGCCATTCCTGTTAGCTTGCCATTTAGAGCAGGTAGCACCTTCCCCACAGCCTGACATGAGGAGAAAAAAAAACACATTAACACAGTGGAAAGCAAAGCCTTCAGCGTAGCCAACTAAACCACAAAATTGCATAGAACTCCACATGGTGCTTACCTTTGCAGCTCCAGTGCTGCTAGGAATGATGTTGAATGAAGCAGCTCTTCCACCTCTCCAGTCCTTTGCAGAGGGCCCATCAACAGTTTTTTGGGTAGCTGGATCAAGGTCAGAAGTATAGTAAGCATAACGTACATAATTTCATGACCCACTTGATGAATTTTTTTTTCCTTTTTCAGTAAAAGAAAACAAAGGAATAGCCATACCAGTAATAGAGTGGACAGTGGTCATAAGTCCCTCAACAATGCCAAATTTGTCGTGAATGACCTGCAATTTTGATGAGTCAGCATAAGGCTACTACTATAGTTTACATAGCATATGTCGTGACCAAGAAGGCAATAATCATACCTTAGCAAGAGGAGCAAGGCAATTGGTAGTGCAGCTAGCATTGGATACGACGTTAAGATCTGGTGTGTAACTCTTCTCATTGACGCCCATAACAAACATAGGAGCATCCTTGCTGGGGGCTGAGATGATGACTTTCTTAGCTCCACCCTGTTGACAAAAGTAAACTCACTTACATAATTCAATCAAACACGCACTGTAAAAGTCCACAGCACATCCAGGCATTTTAAATCCAAACCAGATTCAATTGCACCAAATCACAGTGCACAAATCTCTTCTTACTCATCAAAAACTCCAAATATAACTAGTGCAATTACACAACACATGATTAGTATGGCATTGACCAACGTCAATAAGATGCATCTTAGAACCAATGCAGAATCATTTGCACAAAGCCTAAAATCGGTAACAATGGTTACTCAACATTTGACATGTACAAATTGCACAAAAATGCAGGACTCGCAAAAAAGCATTTACTTTCACAATATCATGATCGAGACCATCTAATATGACGATTCAAAGTTTAGAGCCTGCAAAATAAATATATATTAACACCCACTCAAATCCAAAATATAAACTGATTCAAGTAAAACCCATAATAAACCCAACCAAAACACAAAAACGACACACAGAGATCCCATCAAGTATAACCAAACAATCATAGAGAAAACTCATAAACCGAAGGGAATATACCTTCAAGTGAGCAGCAGCCTTATCCTTATCAGTGAAAACTCCGGTTGACTCCACGATATACTCAGCTCCGGTCTCACCCCATGGGATCTCCTCTGGGTTCCTACAAATTACCAAACAAAAAAAAAATCAACTTTGCCAATCACTACTACACTACAATTGAACTATTAATATTTGATTAAACAATAAATAACAATCAGAAAATCAGATCAGTAATTAAAAAAAAAATCATACCTGTTACCAAAGACAGCAACAGACTTCTCTCCAAAAAGAAGTGTCTTAGAATCCTTAACCTTAAGCTCATGATGTTTCCATGCACCATGAACTGTATCATACTTGAACATATATGTCTACAAACAACAACAAAATCAGATCCAAAACCACAAGCACGCAAAACCAAACATAATAAGAGAATGAGCAGTAGTACCATGTATTCAGTGCTAATGAAGGGATCATTAACAGCAACAAGTTCAACATCATCTCTCTGCAAAGCCACTCTAGCTACCAGCCTTCCAATTCTTCCAAATCCTGAATTTTTTTTTAATCAGATCCGATCACATCAGAGCACAAATAATTCAAATCAAATCAGGTTGAGGTCAGATCTATTACCGTTGATTCCAATCTTGATCTTTGCTGAGCGTCAACAACCAAAAAAAAACAACGAAGAAGAAGAACATCAGATCTGACGATCATCCTAGAAAATAATGGACGTTTAAAAACCAAAGACGGAATGGCAGAAACTGAGTATTGCTTACCCATGATTCTAGAGAAACCGAGATCCGCTGAGAAACAATAAGAGTAGAGGTAGGAGGAAGTAGTGGAGAGACTAGTGGTTGATGATAGGGAGAATAAAGTGCAGTGAGTATATAAAGGCCGCTAACCGGTTACCAGAAGTAGCCGGTTACTTTTGAATAAAATCAATTGGGATCCCTCAAGTATTTATATTTATTCAAGTAAATATCTGTATTATATATACATACAAGTATGGATATATACACACACAAGAAGAAAATGATTCCTCTAAAGAGAATTAGACGCATTTTGGTGCTGTAAAAGAAAAAGAATGGATAAAAAATTATTTTATATTACTTTTTATGCCTTGATTTTTATATTTCACCTAGTTTTTTTATAAAATTTTGTTATATTAGGTCTCATCTATATATTAAATATAGTTTTATAAGTGATTAAGTTTGTACATTTTTTTATTTAAATACATGTGCCAATACGGTAAATAAATGATTAAACTTAAAACTAAAATAAATAAAAAATGTTGTTACTCTGCACATGAAATATAAAAAATTAAGTTAGTTTTTTTATCAAATTAATCATTTTATCTAATATTAGTATATAAATGTGGACCAAATATGGTATGAAAATTTCAACGGTAGCAATATTTGTTATATATATGAAACAAATTGAAAGATTTTGACTATGAATAATATTTGATATAATTAATAATATAGAAAAAAATATCTTACTGAATTGAAGATTTTATATATATTTTAATGTCTAATTTACTTTGCCTCATACATTATATTGTCTAATCAATTTTATATACTCATCAGATTCTTTCATCTACTCAAGTAACTACAATCACTTTTAATAAACACGAGTTTAGCTAGAAGAATCGAATTAAAGGTAAATTGAAAACTAAAGGTTAAATGTTAAAAAAAAAAACAAACAAACAAAGGTACCATATGGATTTATTTGACCAACTTTTAAAAAGTAAGGATGATTTTCGTCCAACATATTGTTTTGATTTTATGGTTAGGGATGGTAGGACGATGATGTTTATTTCTAGCCGTTGATCTGTACGAAGATAGCGTGATCTTTTGTAGCGGCTGTTGTCCATAGTGAAAAGTCAAGTGGTAGAGAAGCGGTGGTATTTCCTAGGGAACAACTTTTATTGTCCACGAAGAAAAAGTAGAAGAGTGATTGGTGGCCACGTCACCATTTGTGGACTGTGTCATGGGCCACGTCGCTTTTGATGGACACGAGTATTTGGGGTGGATGACAAGTATACCACTGACATCTTGTGATTTTCCCCTCTAGAATGTACGGTAAAGGCCCATAATTTCATGGACCTAGAACTACGGGGGTCGATCCACGGCCGTATTGGGTGGTATTTATGTTTGTGTTTGCATTTTGAAGAGGAAGTTAGGAAATTTGAACTCATAAATTTTTTTAGAATAACCTATTTCACTGACTTCTATTTATTCATTATGATTTCCGACATCATTTTTATTCATAAAAAAATGTTGATTTCCATAAGTAAGTAGACTTGTAGAAAAGTGTTTATAATTATGTAACTTAATTAATATACACTTTTTAACTAAATTAATTATATATTATATAGTAATATGTATAAGCATGCAATCTCATGTCATCTACCACACTATAAGGGTACTCGTCTCCATCAATAAGTAAACAAGGAGAAGAATATTCTTATGATCATGCGAATTATGTCGCTTGACAGTTGACATCCAATGTATTATGCTAAATTTGAAATTAAAACAAGATTCCAAAATACTATATGAAATTGTATAACCTACCAAAAAAATGGAGGGACAAAAATAAAAGAAGAAAAGTAAAACTATCTTATCATGCTGGGGATCATAGCCATCTTTTTTTTTAATAAAAGAATAAATTTTAAATATACAAAAAAAAAAAAAAAAATCCCTCTTTTACCTAACCACTCATCATCTTACAAAAGAGAGAAATAAAGAAAAGCAAAGAAGCTCTATTCTAACTTTTTTTTAATATCCTTAATTATGTCAGCATTATATCAGTTGAAATTAAATCCTTCATTTTTTAAATTAGGTAAATACCGAATTTTACATAATTTTTTATAATTTTTTATCAATGCAAGAATGATGATTTCAACTTTCTTTCTTCTCACCTGCACACGCATGCGAAACACAGATAGAAAAATGTCTTCCTTCTTTTGTTTGTCCACAAAACTCCCTTATATGTATATATATATTTCATCTTTACCGTAGAAAGTGTCGTTCCTAGCTCATAAAAAAATAATTAAATAATAATAATTAATACAATAAATAATTTTATTTATTTTAAATTAAAATAAATACAGAATTGAGATTTTTTACTTTGATCATTAGAAAGATTAGGGATTAAAATCATATTATCATATTTCGCAGTATAAAAAATGACCGAACTATCAACATAGTTTTACCATCATTTTAGGTGATTGTCTTGAAGCACAACCATATTGCTTTCTTGAGATAATACGCGTTATCCGCGAATTTATCTAATGCAACGGGTCAAAAATATGTTGCACGTCATCTCGGAGATACTACAAGTTCAGCCATCTTACCATGTCTTAACAAATTTACATTATTTATAAGACTTGAAACTCTAAATATATTATCACCACTCTTACCCAAATATTTATAAAAAAAAAAATAACAATTAAAATAATATGGCTTTTAGTATAATGAAACTTTTTCTTAGAAGATATATATAGCTATCTTTAGCCAAGAAAAACAAGTACACATGTTGCTATCTTTACTCTAGAAAACCGATATGCATGCTAGTTATTTTAGTTAAAAAAAACAAGTATGCAAGCTATCTCCCTTCATCAAAAAACAAAGTCGGATATATGCAAGAAATGAGAATGAGCCATTTGATCCAATAAATCTAGGCATTAAAAATAATAGGCTTAATGTTTCAAAAAATCACGAACTATATACGTTTTAATGATTTTAGCTCGTTTTTTACAAATTATATAAAAAGGTCACCAACTAAACATCCGATAACAATACTAACACCGATTTGATTTTTTGATCAAAAATTTGATCAATGCTAACATGGCGAGTCCATGTAAGCATGATAAGTGGACTTTAGCAAGCCACGTAGGATTCACGTAAGCAAAGTCACGCAAGATCCAAGTAATTGATTTTCCACATCACTGCTGATGTGGATTTTAGTAGTCGGCAAAGGTCCATGTGTCATGCTTACATGGACTATTATGTCGACATTGATCAAAAGTCTAGTCAAAAATCAAATCGATACTAGTATTGTTATCGGATGCTTAGTTGGTAACCTTTCCATTTTTCAAAAAACGAGCTAAAATCATTAAAAAGTATATATTTCATGATTTTCTAGTATATTAAGCCAAAATAATGATGATGATCAAAGGTAGAAAACGTTTGCTTTTATTATGCATTTTAAAACATTTGATTGTTTTGCGAGCAATTATAAGTAATTTGCATGATTGTTTCATAACGATCATGATACTATTTCCGACTAGTAATTTGAAACTTTTTTTTCAATATTTTATTAAAAATAATCCAATGATCCCCCACTTATTTTTTATAAAAATATCGGTATTATTATTATTATTTTTTTTTTGTAAGACAACGAATATAATACATAACAAGGGTGCAAATGGCTTGAATTCTTACTTAGTGTTTTAACAACATTGTTCTCAAGTCAATAGTAAACATCGTCTTGAACTAAGGCTTTTCATAAGAAACAAATATTATATCACATTTATTATATCTAGGTACTCTACAATGAGTTTCGAGCCAACACATTAACAACCTTGTGCTTGATTCCAGCTTCTATGAGTATTCTAGAGAATTAGCCCTATTCTCATAGAAAAAAACTCCACTTTCTCACTCATATAGGTGTGTCTATTAAGGATGCTCACATCACTCTAACATCTCATTCAAAAAGAATGATAGACCACATTAACGAGTTTCATTTGAAAAAACTTAACCTCTGTTTTGTTATGGGATCATGCACTACACCATAGGGATAGACATAAAAGTATTGTAACTCAAAGAATTTTATACATAATCAAACCACTCTATGCTTATTCTTCTACTTGATCTTAGTTTTTGGGATCTACTTGTTCCTAGGTAGACTACCCACATAAGTGATTTTATTCATTTATAGGCTTAGTCTCATCCCACTCGATGTATCATCTAATCATTTGATTTTAACTAAAGATTGACTTCTACAATATTCAATTTACACCCAAAGGATTAGGTAATTAGTACTTAATCAATTTATTAGTGCTAAGACAAATGGTAAGAAATCTTTCATTCTTACTATTTTTCTTTAGACAAAGCATAACATCCACTTGTTGCTTTATTGGCTTGATCTTTTAGCGAATTTAAGTTTCACCACATACACACCGACCAATGGTAATCATACTTTTATTTATTTCTCACACAATCAACATCACCATGCTAAAGCATGATGACATCATTGTATTTTTAATACAATGGAAACATTGAATATGATCACATTAAAGTGAATAAGGATATTTTTCGATCTCTAGTTTCTCATACAAATTTGACCTCATTGTATCTCATCTATATAATAGGAATATCAATATTTAACTAGAGATTTAAATTTCTCAAAATATCACCAATTGTTTTATTAGACAATATCATTACAACACCATTTTATCTTAATTATACAATAGGAGTTTCATCCCACTCGATTTACCATCAAATCATTTGTTTTTAACTAAAGATTGACTTCCACAACATTCAATTTACACCCAAAGGATTAGGTAATTAGTACTTAATTAATTTATTAGTGCTAAGAAATGGTAAGAAATATTTCATTCTTATTATTTTTCTTTAGACAAAGCATAGCATCCACTTGCTACTTCATTGGCTTGATCTTTTAGCCAATTTAAGTTTCACCACATATACACCGACCAATGGTAATCATACTTTTATTTATTTCTCACACAATCAACATCACCATGCTAAAGCATGATG